CTGTTCGAATGAACTTAGTGAACCAGTGTCCATAATCTCGGAATCCGGGCCGGGAGGATCGATACATGAGATTTTGGTGTTCACACCCTTCCCCGCGGAACCAAACGGCCAGGGGTTTATCGCACGCTCCTGAGCTCCGCGATCATGCGAACATCGACTCGGAATTCGCTCAGACGAAAAAGACGACCGACCAACTGCATTCCGATCGAATTCCGGGATTCGGGCACCTGACATCAAACAAGTTCAACTTCCCCAGGAAGAAATTACTCTTGCTGAAGAAACTAGTTCAACTCGTTTTCGTATATCCGATGAGAGCGGATAAAGAATTCGTCGTTGAAGACGAAACTCCACGAGGGATAGCGGATTCACACGCGTTGACATGAATTCGATTAAAAATCAAGACGGACGCGTCTGTCATATATTTGGATGCAACGAACGTCTTCTGCACAAAATTTATGCCATGGCATCGGAACCATCGCTTCAGAGCTGTTTGTTATGTGGCCGATCAGCTGCTCCCCGGTCAGCTGTTCTGCGTACGGATCCGCGCGCAAGAAGCTGGTGGAGCGACGAAGTTTTCCGACCGTATATCTTCTTCTTCTTCGTCCCGGAATCTAAATTTAGGTCCGCGATCGCCCGTCAGAACAATGGATCAATGTATCGAAATTTTTCACCAAAAATAAAGCACACAAATCCATTCCTTTCGAGAGGAGATTAGTTAGAGTCTGATACCGCCCACTACTCATGGGATTCGTTAGCGTACAGAACTTCTGCCGTCGCGTCGACCGTCACCGACCAATCTGACAGATTGTGCTTGGAGCAACTTACAGAAATCGACGTCTCCACATAGAAGCAAAGGCGAGCGCCGAACGAGACTTCGAGTTTCCATAGGGCGCTCACAGTCAGCAGGCCACTTTGTTCGCCAGAATTCCGAACATTGTGGGCGTGCGGCGCAAGACGTTCCAACGCTCAACGCAAACAACGTTCGAGCGGCTGGAGCCTTGAACCGACATCGGCCGCTGAGCTTCCTTATTTCGCGAATAATGCAAATTCGAACTCATCCGTTCATCTTGATTGATTGTGCAACGCGCGTTCGCCGACGACGGCGATTTTCAAGCGGCTCGCGCGGTTTCCTCAAATTCCTTCAAAAATGGTCACTCGCTTCCGGTGTGAGACGTTCTGCTCTTTTTATTTCGAGGAGCAAATCGCGGTAGTACACACCTCGAACAATACGGAGATGGGGCATACGTGTATTCACCAGGAAAGAGTGACAATGCGGATGGGAAAATTGAGGAAAAATTATTCAATCACATGGAAGATTTCGGTGTTCCCGACGATATGTATCAACCAAGCTCTCATGTATTCCTCACTTATTGAGATGATTTTGAAAAGTAAGGCGATCATATTTCCGACTCTCGGACCATTCGTCGCCCGGCTCACGCGGAGCGATATCCCGTCATTCGAAAGGTTGAGGGGGAGAAAGAAAGAAAAATAGAAAACAGGCAATTCCAAACTTCATTTGAAAAACGACCATAATGGACCGAAGCCGAAAATTTGTCTCAACCGAGACGGTGGACGCGTGGTCGACATCGAGTGATCAGCGGAAAATTTATCGCTTGAACGCTCCTAGCGAAGATGTCCGAAAGAGTAACGAAATCCAGACGTAACACTCGAAGCAACCGAGCAGTAGCGGGCGTCTGCTTTTGATAGACGTTGGTCATCGATTGAAAGCTGGTCGGTTTAACCTGATGACCTCCGTCAATATTTCCGACGAGTCGATTCGCGGATCGGGAGCATGGCGCCCACGGAGATTCATTGGAGCGTGTGGCTCGAATGTTTTCGACGGTCGCGAGTGTGCGAATCACCCTGATGGCAGCGATTGGTGCTCCTAGGCGGTGACTCAGCGGATTTGAGCTTTACCATGCAGAATATGATCGCGAATTATTGAAGTCACCACCAACGGCCTTGAGCCGGTATACAAACATAACTTGCTCTTGAATGTTCATCCATGGAGAGAATCGTTAGAGGACAATAGCTCTGAGCTCCCAACCGATTGAATCCGGATGAGGGCCCTGTCCCTGTTCTGGTCTCGAGGTCACCCCAGGCCGATACCTCGAAGCCCTCGCTAGAAAATTCTTCGCTCGGGAGACTCCAGACGCGGCATCTCCTTCATGAGCAACGGCTCTCGTATAGCCAACTGTTGCGGAGACTGCCCCGTCGGTAGCTGTTCGGAAACCTATTCCCTCGTTGAGTCATGCTTTGCTGTTTCCAAGTTTGTTTTGATGGGGGCATTATGAGCGATGCGATGATGCACTCACTGGAATTTGTGGAAGGCCGAAATGAGCAAGCGCGCCCCCGGTTCGGAAGCTCAGTGATATCAACGTATTCGCGCAGAGTTCGACTTAATCACTTCACATTAGGTCAAGTTCAATGATGACATGAATATGTTCTCGGTATCAATCAGCGCATCCAATTAGGTTGCGAGGTGAGAGGCTGGACATTCCTCAGAGCTTCCCCGGGATTGTCGAGACTCTCCGAGACGTATCATGAGTCATGGACTGCTGCTGAGCTGTCGCAACGGCCTACCTGGGGCATGTCTGCTCGGTTATCCTTCACGGGGATCGCGTCATCTTTCGAAAAGTCTGGAAAGACCTCTGGACCCTCTGGCCAGTAGCGTCCGCAAGTCCCGTGGGAGTAGGCAATTAGGTAGGCACCACATCCTCGCATGCGGGTGCTCTAATTTCTAGAGCACGAGCCATCAGGAACATGATTTGTGGACAACCTATCGGAACTGTCAATGCCTGACGAATAAGCGACGAACAATAAAACAAGGCATCGAAGTGCGCAGAAACTCAGGAAGAAGAAACTAGTCGTCACTCAGGGAAGAATTAACTTCCACAGCTCGTACACGGAATTCTCGAACTGCTCTCGCTCTGGGTTTTCTTTCGTCGGCCTCATAGCGGGATGGAGAGATTCGCCTACAAAAAGCTGATTCCATCATGATGGGAAGACCTCGACCAAGGAGTCGAGGAAGCGACGACATCCGCATCATTGAGGTTAGCGATAGTTACAGGAACGGTCGCTGCGAGATCTACTCTATATTCCGAGTCCTTCCGGGTGCCGGAGATGCATTGAGCGGTTACGAAGTAGAGCTTCCTCGGAAAGAACGAAAATCCCTCGATTAGGACGCGTTAAATCGATTCGGGATTTTCGCGCGAGCTTCTCGAAGAATTCGCGAATGAAACACCACCGACACCCTCAGAGGGCGGCTCGAGACCATAGATTTTTGGATTCGGCTCCTGCCGACGAACGAGAGGCTTCATCGAATGCTCTAGTCCCGGGCTAGAGTCGAATGAGTCGCGAAAACAAGATCTGCAACCGGAGGCTTTTTTTGCATTGTGCATAATCTAGTCGGCAGGGTACACATTTCTATCGAATAGTCATACGGCTTATTGTTGGTTTAGCTAATACCCATAACAGCGACCCGGAGCGATTGGTATAGAAGTCAGGGGCTCCCATTCGCCCCGGAAAACATTCCGACCTTCGTCTCGATCCCCATTAGCTTGGTGTCTAAATCGAATGTCAACGCCTCGAGGATTGAGGGCGCGATGGTGCTTCCCTGAATCTGGCTTGGGACTGGAACACTCCGCTCAGGCTTTCGAGAAGTCCGCTGAAACTTTTCGGGAATGATGCTGCGATTCTTCCAATATTTTTTATGAGGGTATCTGTCGATCTCGAACGCGGAAGCGTATAATCGGTTGGTTCGGCTTCACAGGTGGTCGGTTTTCGATAGGTCGTTGTCAAAGATACGACGCCGTTAATCGAGATCACGCCTATAGTGTAACCTATTTTTTGTAGAACATTCGAACGACGCCTAATGATTCACATTTTTTAGTCTCGAGAGCTTATGAAAAAGACTCCGCCAAACTCCCGGACTCGAAATGATTGGCAGCCCGTGAGATAAGCCAGAATCGCGCTGCGCATTTGAATGATGCTCGAAGCTCTTCACGGATCGGGGTGTAATCCATATCGAGACTCGAAATCGAGCATCGACTCAACTCGGTATAGGTTTTCACGCTTTGATTCCAAAGTCCTTCTCCTAAAGTCGAACTCGCCATTGACGTCAAATTCCAGGGGGGGAGGCGTAGAATACGCTCGAGAGAGCACCCCGAAAGTATGCGGAATCTTTTTTTGCGGATCACGTCCACTCGGCTTTCTGAGAGTCAGGAATGGAAGGGTGTCATATCTCAGGCCCCAGGTCCAGAACTCGCAGTGAAGACCGCCGGGGGAGCAATTGCATTATTCCCAGTCATGCTCGGAGATCACACGAGAGCTCTCGCAAGCGTGAAAAGCTGCCGTAATCCTATGTTGGCAGGCAGTAGATCCGCTTAATCTTTCTTTAATTTGTTCGAATATGCAGATGGAATTTCCGATTTCCCACTGAAGTTGACGGAAGCCCGGAGATCATCCCTCAAGAGGGGGGAACTCGGGAAAACGGAGAGGCGTCACCCCTCGAGCTCCTCAACTCCGCGCTCCTGTCTTCCCCCCTCCTCTCGACCCTCGCGATACATCGAGGGATGCTCCGAATAAATCGAATATCGACTCAGATCAATCATGAACTTCATCCGATTGGAATTCCCTCCCATCCCGAGAAGCCCAGAAAGGAACGTCGTGCCGGCTGCACTGCGGTCTTTACGGGTTCGGGAAGAGCGGGAACAACGCTTTGCGCACAGCTGTCAACGATTGTCCTCCGCGCATAGGTCTTAAGTTTTCTCAGTTCTTGAGATTCCAATCCGGAGCTGAGATGCCGGAAATCGAGATACGCATTCCTTGGTCTCTGGAATAGACGCTCCCCGGGGGGAGCGGAACGACGCGCCATGCGGATTGGAAATACATTTGCTATATCCTTCTCTCTCTAGCTGCATGGGGATTAAAAGATAACAGCTGGTTGTGCTCGGCGGTCACAAGCTTTAAGTTGGCCCGGTCGTGATGCTCTCGCAGAGTCAAACTCAAATCAGCTTCCCATGCGTGCTATACCGTTCGATACGAGTGTGGAGTGCTCGAACACCGCGTTTCCCGTGCCCAGACCCTCAGTGCCGCCTGATGCGCGTTCTCAAGTGGTGAACATGACACGGGACATGGACCCTTCAATGAACAGTCTCCAGGAAGTCGAGAGCATGGACATCATGCATCTCTCCGAGGATCTTCTGAATTCCAGCGGGAGGTGGCTCGACAGGTTGGTACGATTGTATTTGGGACTGGGAACGCGGAGGCAGTCGGGATGATTCCTCGTTCGGATAGGAAAAGAATCAGGGGAGGTGGATTCAGCTGGAACGAGCGGTCTTTGCTCAAAGCTCGGAATGCAGAAGCTATCTAGGTGTTTCATCCATAGTCCAAGGCAAAGTTTGTCGGAATTCTCTGGCCTAAGCCTCTTCGTCGACCCGGGCAGACAGCCTGGCACCGGCAAAAGCTGCGCATTACCGACTATGTTATCGCTTGTTTCACGGTCAGTGTACTCTAAGGGAGGTTGGAACTTCCTAGCCTGATCTCAGTGAGGAGAATCGGAGCAGGGATGGCGATGTTCTGAATCCTTTTCCATGTTCGGGGGAGAACGATGCCCGACAAGGGTGGAGCTCAATAATTTTGTCGAAACAAAGCCCGAGTTTTCTGGGAGTTTCGCATTGAGCGGAAACACGCTGCATCAATATCGTTTTGGAATCGAGGCTCTTCGCTGTCAACTAATTCCTGTGACGATCGTGATACCGCGCGCGTGAATTATCGTTCGCGAGCTCGGACGAGCTCGATGAGCGCGAACGAGCGAATGAAGGTCCGATGACCGACGACCTTCCGACGTTTCGTAGCATATTCATTGAGATTCATCGAATAGACACATCGACGTGAGAATTTATTGGTTAAATAATTCTTCTCCCCGCTTTTAACGCATGGACAGACGATCGGCTTCGCGAATACAAAAGGCAACAATTTTACAAAACGTCGGAAGAAGAAACGTTGGCTGACAAGCCAAATCACCGGTTTGCGGCGCGCGGATAGCTGCAGTGTTCCACGATTCACGCTGTGGTCAGTTCACGATGCCATTGTATTGTCCGTATCGCGGCTTCGATCAGTGGGTAAACTATCATCTTTCTGATTCTATCGATCGTCGGAAAACGAGTTTCTCTCACTCGGACAAGCCGGCGGGGTGTCTGGATTCAGAATTTCCTCCCCTTCGCCCTGCCAGTCGCCTTCCGAGCCCCGATTGCGGATCGATCGGGATTGGATTTCATCAATAGTCAAGCCCTCGAAAAGAATTCTCTCGAATCAGCGCCATTCGCAGAAATCGAAGATCTCGTCTACGACGAGTCGGGGGAACGGAACACGATCAGAAGTGATGGTGGAAAGTGTCTTCCGTCGGTATACGCGTAGAGGGAGCCTCGAAAACGCTTTTTGTCCTGAGCGGAGCCGCGGCCCATCTTCGAATCAGCGACAAGAAAGGTTCGCCCCAGTCTGTACGGCTCCGGAGCGGAAGCGAAGAGAGATGGCAATTCGAGCGATCGAATCGCTAGTCTGGGAAACTCGATGCGATCCAAGAATCCCAGCTGACCCGGAGATCCCTCTCGACACAAGTGATCGAAGCACTGTACACGTAATCGAAGTCTTGTGCGACCCCTACACACTTCTTCGGCTTCATCGAATTCCCCCTGTACTTGAGATTTACTCATGACTCCCTAATAGTGAGGATTATCGCTCCGTTCGAGGGCTGGGATTCCCCCGATGACTCAGCGGAGATCGCCGCTGGCACTCGGATAACGTGTGCCTCAACGGGAACCGAGAATACGCGCGGATCCGTGAGAACGTGAGCGGGAGCTCAGCCATGAGAATGGCGAACCCGGAAACGAGTTTTTTGCTCCTTGTTCGAATATTATGTAAAATGTTGCCAACGAGAGCCATTATCGTCAAGCAGGTAGACCCTTGAGATGTTGAGGGCGTTTCCCGCCGTTCTCGTCTGGTCGGCGGCAGCGCAGAAAACCGCCGTAAATCTTCTAATGCAACAAATGGCGAATTTCTTCCTTCGAACGCTGCCGAAATCGCCTCCACGCAGAGATGAGACTTTCGGGCTGTAAACTCGGCTCCGAAGACGGCTGGAAGCCGAAAGAGCGCTCCGGCGATATGATGAACGAGTCTCCATTATTCGCGCCCGATGTCTGGTTCGATTTTGTACGGAACGGAGTCCTGGGTGGAATCCGCGATTGGAACTGTCATCTGAGCTCCGGAGGTTCGTGATGGACGCTCATCGATGGCGAGACGACTTCATGACTTCTGAACGAAGCCAGAATCCACAATGGCTGCTTAGAAATCGAATAATAGCGGTCGTTACTTGGAGGTAGGCTACCAGCCGGAAGCCTCGACTTCGACCGCGGGAGAACAGCGATTTCGTGAAGCGTATTACGCCGATCCGTATTGGTCATGGCATTCTCGCTTCTCGAGTGCGCGCCAGTGGATAGAACGACGCAACGAAGGATCGCCTAACATCGATCTTGGTATGAGTCATCTTTTTGGTGCACTTGATTCCGGCAAAGTCACCAACGAACCGATTCATGATTATGCGTCACTACAGAAGAATCGCGATCGGATGACATTGCATAGTAACATGCAAGCAAGAGCGTTCATCTGGGAATCGCACACCACGATGAGTGATTTTATTTTTCCGGAAAAGACGTCGAAGATCGAGTATGCGTTGCGTGCGAGAGGCGCGACCGACTCCACGGGTCGCGATAAGTTCCAAATTCGACTCTGTTGCCCGCATGTGTCTTTCCTGTGGGATCGCGTCGACCGAGTTTTGCGAGAAGTGCGCTCTCAGACTGAAGCCATCAGCGTAGGTACATCGGATGAGCGTGGCGGCCGATCTGATTCTGTTTCTTTGATCCATAATCTGCTCAAAAGAGACGGAGCCATTGTTTGAAGGATCTCTTCCCCTCTTGTTTGACTTATCATTAATCACGGCACGTTCGGGCCGAGGAGACCTCTTGTGTATCAGGCGTCCAATTATTATGCAAATTGCTATTTGAGAAATTTCAGCTCCTCCACGATCTCGCCAAATTGGCTGCGAACGAAGGACCTACCTGAACTTCGCTATGCCTCCGATTTGGCCAAATCTGACGGGAGCCACATAGGGAAGCATATGAAAACCATTGCGCGTTCCCTGAATGATCAGAATTTGGCTTTTGTTCTCGAGCCAGAACTCACCAAGATCGAGCCATCCGTATCATAGAGGTATTATTAGGAACTCAATTTCGGAAACTATCAGGCTACCCAGAGATCTGAGTTTGTTCGACGAGTGATCGAATTTCGATAGGCGCGTAAAAGAGACGATGCGATGAATGATCGAAAATGATCTCATTCGAATCAATCCTCAAGGAATCAGACGCATGGACAGACGATGAATGGAATGAACGAATTTCTACCGGTTGCTCGAATCTCCTGAATATACCGGAGAGCGAGCGGATCCTTTCTCTCGTTCCGTTCCGACTAACAAGACGCTGATTGAGTGACCAGTCTTCAGGGAGGAGCTTGGAAGGCGTGTCCATGTCTTTACTTTGCTAAAAAAAATAAAACAGAATTTGGCGCCATTTCAACAAAGTGATTTATGTTGCCGTCGACCACAACGGAGCGTCGACCCACCCTGCCCACTAGTATCTCCATCAGTGAAGGCGACGACGAGGACGGTGGCGGCTTCATTAAGTAGCTTCACAGCTCGGAACATTCGCGATTTCCTGTACGCCGGTCGAAGAGTCCAGGAGCCGCTCGGCTCAAAGCCGTGCGTAATCGCGTGATAAGTCGCCGCTGAAGAAGCGTCACGATCACACCTCGGTTTCCTTCAAGGCTCACCTTGATGTTCACAGGGATCTCGAATTCTCTATAATTCGGAGGACCATGATTCTCTTCCCGTGATTCGATCGTCATTGGTATTCCACGAATTTTGAGGATGTTTCGTGAGCCGAAGGAGTTCGGCTCAAGCGTGGACAGGGGGAAAATGGGATAGTTCGGAAAAAAAATCTCGAAAGAAACGATGACCGATGGTTTAAGATTGGCCTGACCTCCGAAGCGGCTCGAGCTTCATTGAAGACGCATGATTATTCCATTTCACGGGCATGCGCTTTTCGAAGAAGAACTAAACTCCATCTAGAACGTCCGATGACTACGGGGTCCGACTAGTCGACTGGAAGCTAAGGGGGGACAGTGGGTCCGAGCCAAGTGATCTTCTTTAAGATTCTCGTATAGCCTCCAAACGAAGATCGGTTCGATCTATATTTCCCTGTCTCGAGAAAAGTATCCTCGACCCTAGAGGCGACCATTCCGTTTCTTCGGCAGATGGATGACGGGCGATGTTGATATCGAGTGCTCGACCAAACTTGGCTAGAATCTCCTCTTCCTTCGCAGTTCCCGGGGAGAATCGTATGGAGAAATGGTAATTGCGGAAAGTAAAAGCATGCATGAAAGGTGGTTGGAGAGACAGACAGCGCCTCCCACGACGAAAACCGGTGGGGGGTCTCGATCTTAATGCTTATGGAAAATGATGAGCAGTTTCAAGCAAGTCTGGTCATTCATCAAAATTAGCGGTGAAGAATAATTTGTCGAGAATCCATTCCAATACCCTTCCGGCGACTCGCGAACGTGTGTATCCCACGGGTCCCAGCTCAATTCTTCAAAAAAGAAGGCTGATCCCGCAGAGCTGAACGGACGCTCACAAACCAATATATAATACCACGGAATGGATCGCGCCGATTTCTCACCTTACACGAGAAATGAATGATATCGATGGCCGAGCCTCCTCCCTAACGTTAATAGGATTAGGGAGTAGCGAAGAGACTCGATCGGAAGAATGGATATCAATCAGAACTCGGTTCGTAGCGGCGGAGGAAGCTCCGAAAATCAGTTTCGGTACTGGATTGCTGTGAGTCTCCTCCAATCGTTCGGATAAATGGCGAGGCTTCATCAAACTTCGACGGGAACGAACAAGTCTCTCGTCGGAGTCGAGCCAATTTCCTGAGCCTCTCGAAGAATACTCCGCTGCAGCCATTTTCCAAACGATCGACGCGACGTGGGAGCCAGCGCTATCCGGCGAAAACGCATGCCGACCGGATACTCGAAATGTTGGGGTGTCGGGCTGACAACCCATAAATTGGAAGGACTGTATCTCTTTGAAACATTCTCCATGTCTTATCCTCCCATTTATTC